AGACCAGACCTCACTAAAAATGAGGTCAACACATATGCCTTGATATTTTTTAACCATAGATTAGATACTCTGTCAAACATCAGCTTATGCTTTTGAGATCAAGTATGCACAACTCTTAATATGTAACTATTACAGATATAGAAATGATATAGTCTGAATTTGGTATGATCTGACACTGACTGTGGGTCCTACCTTTCTTATTGGTCCAATATTGTAAGACCGGTCGAGTTTGAATTTGATTTCAGACTATCACTACCCATACAAGTAACTGCAAAAACTTTCCAACTCATTTTAATACAATGTAACTAATGACTGTTATAAAGTAGGATGCTATGTCATGGCAGAAATTACCACACTTTATAATTCCTTGTATGAATATGGTCAATCCACTTTATGTTTGCCCTAGCAAATTGAAAAAACATCTTGTGGACAATTACCATCTCTCTGTCTATAAAATAAACATTAAATCCACATTAATGATGCACTGGAACATTCAAATACTCACCAAAGATTTTCAATTCAGATATTTTTTGTTTTTTACATTACTTTTTTGAATCTTGCCATCTTATGAATTATTCTGAATGATCTTTCTATTGGAATCATGTCGTATAATAGTTTCTGATGTCAGGAGGAAGAAGCTGGATGGATATTTGGAATGATGCTTTATAGCCTTGATCTACTTTGCAAAGCTGTGGAAAAGAATGCAAAAGAAACTCGTGAGTGGCCAAGGTTTGTATAGGATTACTTTTTAGTGAACTTACATAATCTTGAAGTTGTGTTTTTCGGGTTGTCCACATTTGGATAGACAATGGTGGGGAAAGTGATTTAATTAGTCCAAGAGAGTGTTAGGTGGTAGTCTGATTTTACTAAAAGATTAGGGTAGCATGTAACTAGAAAAATTGGATGTTAGATATCAACACAGATATTTAGGCTGATGTGTAAATTCTCGTATAAATTTGTGAGCAACCTTTGAAATCTCTATTTAAAAAAAATTATAAGCTAAATTAATTAAACCTCAAAGAATTTGACAAAGCATATTCAATGTTAAAATAACTTAAAAAAAATTCAAATGATTTAAGGGGGGAAAGGGAGGGCCACACCCAACCAATATTATTAATTAACAAAATTTATAGAATTAAGTTACAATTTATGAAGAGAATATAAAAAAACTCCAAAAAATGGAAGCCAAAGAAAATTAAAAAAAAAACAAATTTATACCCCTAAATACTAAAGATATATGAGCTCAGTTAGAAGTTATATTAATCACTAATTTATTCCTATGAGAATCTATGAGAAATAAATTATTTCCTTATATTAGAGTTATTTCTTTTCCTATTTTCCTATTTTATATTTATTTCTTTTTTTATTTTAGGCTTTTCTATTTTATGTTATTTCTTTTATCTCTCAATAATTAATATGAGTTGATTATGCGAGATATTAGGTGTTATATCTTTTCTTTTCATGTTATTTCTTTTTATTGTCTTTCATTTTCTAGGATTCATGTAAGGTTTGTTTATACCCCCTTCCATATTAATAAAATAATTTTGTTTTTTTCTCGCATTATTCTGAATTTCAATGTGTTATCAGAGCCAAATTCAAATGTCTCTTTCTGCCAGAAAACCCTCCTGTGTACCGACGCTGCAGCAGGGGTGATTCTCACTATCTAAACTTTGCAGAGGAAATCTCACCGTGCAAATTATTCGCCCGCTAATCCTTCCTCTGGGGTTTTCCAACAGCTGGACCTCACGATCTCCTTTCTGCAGATTTGCTCCTGCTGTCGGTTTCCTTCTTGCATACCAACTTTCCCCAAGTGTTTGGTTCCTCACCGACTTTCTTATTCCAACAACCCCAACCACTTCAACCTCTGCAGCAACAACAGACGTCCTTCTCCTTCTTCCCTCAATAACGGCAGCTACAATTCCCTTTTTTTTCCTTGCAACCCAATGCACAGATCACCATGCAGATGGTACCCGCCTCCCTACTCACTTTGTACCTCGCTGACCGTGACGTCCTGACGATCGTAGATGCCTATAAGGAAGAACCGGCCTATCCTAAATATTCCTTCAGGCATTTGCTTTTTAGTGTGACTAATTCGGCAGTTAGGGTGAAACCTGTTGGTGTTGATATCAAATGGGTGGAGGCTATGGGGAAGTTGGAGGGAATGAAGAGTGTGGATCGGGAGAGGTTATGACTTCAGCTTGTTCAGGGATTCAAGGGCCTTTCAAATCGAACCAAGATTTGGAATGAAACTATTGTTTCATATGTCGAAAGGTTGTAGAAGACAATCTAATATCAAAGAGCTTCAAAGGCTTATCCAAGCAGTTTTATTTCGTTGTGTCCAGAGGTTGCAGCAGAAAGAGCAATGCCTGCCTTCAAAGGCATCTATTGTGGAAGCATTAGAGGTCTACAGATGCCTTTGATGAAAGGTGAATTTGGGCTGGCTAAGATGTTGGATTCCATACTAAAGACAGATCAATGGACCAGGAGGAGAGATGTCCAGGAAGGTTCATAATCTGCTATCTATAACTCGAGTGCAAGCCAATGGCGGCGGTATTAGAGCATGGTTCGACTTCACGGGATTTCCTTTGCCCATTATTTGATGTTTTCAAATCTAAGTTGAACATGGTTTCCAACCATTTTTCAACTTAAGGGGGAGTGTTAGAAGTTATATTAGGAAATAGTTTATTTTTATGAGAACTTATGAGGAATAAATTATATCTTTAAATTGAGAGTTATTTTCTTTCCTATTATATATTTATTTCCTTGGATTATGAGTTATTTCCTTTCCTATTTTGGTTTTTCTATTTTATGTTATTTTTTTTATCGCCAAATAATTAATATGAATTTATTATTGGAGATATTAGGGGTTTGTTTAGGGCGGCGGTGTGATAACGATGTGGTAGCAGTGCGACACTGAATCACAATTTTTCCTGTATAGCAAAACTGTGGTTTGTCTGCGTTCTCAAAAAGTTGTAGCTGAAAGCTGCTTTTTTCTAACAGGCTTAACCATCTGTAGTGGCTGCTAGAAAGCTGTGGTCTGAAAAAAATTGTAATAACCATCGCAGCTTTTTGAACAACTTTTTTAGCAGTTTCATAGCTACTTCTTCAAACAGCTGCGACTACTCTAAACCGACCCTACATGTTATATTTTTCTTTTTCATGTTATTTATTTTTATTGTCTTTCTTATTCTAGGATTCATATAAAAGTTATTTATACAACATTTCATATCAATAAAATAATTTCATTTTATTTCACACTATTCTGAATTTCAACAGGCTCTAATTTGAACATTAGTGATCTTATGTTTTATCCATAGCAGATGAGGATTGCCAGCACATATGATTGGAAGTAGCACTCAAACTATAGATTAGGTTAAATATGCCTAGTTGAATCTCAGAAAATAAAAAGTAATATATATAT